CGGTTGCCGGCCAGCCTGCCGTAGTCGAGCGAAGCCTACTTCAGACCACTTCGAAGTTTCTGATGGTGAAACTCCAGGAGCAGCCGCTGACGATCGTAACAGCTTACTTTTGCTACCATTAATTTATTCTTCGAATTTTTTTGTTACTCGGCCCTTTGAAGCGTGGCATTCAGGACGTTTCGTTGAGGAATCGGACCGATGTGCAGCGTGGTTTAAGGTGCGAAATATATTGAAATGTTCCCAGTAAATACCAACCGGTCGTTGCTATTCTTCGCTGCACTTATAATTTCGTTGCCTGTTGACAGATGCTTACACGGTTAGCCACACAAATCACATGTGTTTCACACCGACGTGCAAACATATGCCCGTACAGACACATACACACACACACACACGCACACACACACACACACACACACACACACACACACGTCACGCCCAAAGAGGGTTTTTAAAGCTCCTATAGGGAGTTTGTAACCACGTGACCTGAAACTCCCTGGGGAGTTTAACAAGGTCATGTCGTTCATAAACTCTGTGATTACGGAGGGGGCGTTTTACGATGACATGTGCCGAGTTCACTCCCTACCAGGGAGTAAATAATTGGGGCAGGGGAGTTTTGTGGGCTCATGTGCTGGAGAAACTCCCATTTCGGCTAACTTTCGTTTACAGTGTATGGTGTCCACTGTATGACTTCCGCACCGCAATACTATATAACCTGTAAGTTCTATTTTCGTTCACCCCGCCGCAGTGTAACGGCTAAGGTACTCGGCTGCTGACCCACATGCCGCGGGATCGAATCCTGGCTGCGGCAGCTGCATTTTCGATGGAGGCGGAAATGATGTAGGCCCGTGTGCTCAGATTTGGGTGCACGTTAAAGAACCCCAGGTGGTCGAAATTTTCGGAGTCCTCCACTACGGCGTCTCTCATAATCATATGGTGGTTTTGGGACGTTAAACCCCAAGCATCAATTATTCAATCAAGTTCCATTTTCTTTGCGGTACATGCGCTGTGAATCTAGCTTGTTCGTTTTTTTTTTCTTTTCGAGTATTTATGATACTGATATAACGTGTTAATGTGTAGATGTAAACGTTGCGCAGTATATATGCTGCGCATGTCTCTGTTTCAGCGCATATTTGACGGTGACAGAGCCACAAGTATAGATAGAAGTAATAGCGCCTGCTCTGTGTTTCTGGGCCTTGAGAGTGTCTGTTTCGCGCTAAATATTTTCCAGAAGGTATGCTTTTGTCCGACATACATGCACTTCCGACGTCATGCTGTATAAGTTAGGCGCACCTGTAAGTTAAATAAGAAGCCGCTGCGTGATGCAACGTCACCGCAACTGCACCTTGATTGATTGATTGATTGATTGATTGATTGATATGTGGGGTTTAACGTCCTAAAACCACTGTATGATTATGAGAGACGCCGTAGTGGAGGGCTCCGGAAATTTAGACCACCTGGGGTTCTTTAACGTGCACCCAAATCTGAGCGCACGGGCCTACAACGTTTCCGCCTACATCGTAAATGCAGCCGTCGCAGCCGGGAATCGAGCCCGCGACCTGCGGGTCAGCAGCCGAGTACCTTAGCCACTAGACCACCGCGGCGGGGCAGCTGCACTTTGGGGACACGAATATGTGGTTGAAATTTATTCATGCACCTAAGGCCGGCGTATACGTAGAGCGTATCCATGTTGCCCTGTAGAGAGCACGTCCCCGACTCGATTACAGCAAGCGACCACCAAAGGACCAAATATACAACAATTATTATTTAAACGGTTGCCGATATAGCGAGATCAAGTCAGAAGCGGGGTTTTTTTCTTGTGATAAGCGCTCAAATTATTCGCTTCTAAAATTAAATCTAGAACATGCGAAACGCACAAGTCTTCACAGTTTTGAGCACCGGAGGATAGCACACCTGCGTTAAATACAACACCGCATCATTGCGTTGCAACATACGCTGGCGTGCACGAAGTGGAAGTGTGCTTATTTTTCATTGCTTCGAACTTTGTCTTCGCAATTTCACTGACATGCCACGCCGAAGCATCTTACTCACCGGCTGGCCAATTGAGCCCACTTTAGCCGAAGTGCAGCTCTTGCAACGCCCACTAATATTTCGCGCTACGGTGGATATCAAAGCGGGCGCCGAGGTACATTGAAAATAGTTCCGAAGCGTCATCGTGAAAAAAAAAGGAAGAAATAAAAAATATCACTGAGAAGAATATTTCCACTGGCTCTTGAAAAAAAAAAGCACATACGCGTGTTGCAATGTATGTGGCGCAACTACAGAGCTATAATAATGCGGTCTTGTGAAACCACGTCTCGTTGGCTCGCAGGCGAGTAGAGAAAAGGCGGTTGGGGAGAGGAAAAAACGACAGAAAGAATAGGTAAACCTGGCGATCATTTCGTGCATTGTCGTGCAGTACACCTAACCGATGTTTACGTTAAACTGTGAGAACAGTCACTAATAATGGGGATGTATACGCGCTCAGCATCCTCTGTATTCCCGTCTGCTTTCTTATACGACAATGGCGCTGCTCGGCCATGCGTGTACTATCTTGATGTTCAGTCGGCGTTCTCTGCGCACCACTAGCGGTGAACAAACATTGTATATTTCTCAGCCATTTGGGACTGTAACAGTGCACGTTGTTCGAACGCATCAAATTACGCCGGAAATCAAACTTCAGAGATCCCTGCCTAAGAAGCAGGAATATTACGCGCTTTCCCATACGTCTTGCGGTCCTGAAACTTTTGACGTTGACTGTGGAATTCTGGCGCCTGTAGATAACATGTTACCCCGGTTTACGTGTTGGTTAGCATAAAATTACAAGGTTACTAGGTCAAAGAACGGTACCATTAGCCACGCATGCGAGGCATGTAAGACCAGGCAAGGGTTGGAGGGATGAGAAGTTGTCGAATAAGATAAGTAGCCGGGGCGAACGTGTTCACGTTGCAACATAGCGCCTTGTTGCACGGGTCAGTGAGGCGCGCATGATTACACTGCTGCCCTGACCACGTCCGCTTGTAGACGCGCACAGAGTGCAGCTAAAACTGCTCATCACTTCATGCAGATATATATATATATATATATATATATATATATATATATATATATATATATATATATATATATATATATATATATATATATATATATATGTTACAAGACTTGACCACGCTACCCCTACGTTTCTCCCCTTCTATTCTATCCGTTGTGTAGTAATTAGTAATTCTGCAAGTAATACTGCACCTAAATCGTCGGTAGATAGTTAAATTAAAACGGCTGAATATCACAAAACTATGAAAAAAAGACTCGGCCACCGCGGGCATCAGGCATTTGTCGCTCACTTAGCAGCTAACTTATGGTAATTTAAATATCGCAATAGCTTTTCTGTTAAAGTACAAGCAACTTTCCCTAGAGAGAAAACAATAATTTGGTCGTCATTTTGGAATACTTAGCAAGCCTACCTGCATAAAAAAAAAGTCACCATTTACGACTGGAACGATGAAGCGGTCGTTTCAGAACGCTTAAATGTGTATTGTTCTTCCCAAGTTCATGGTAGCTGCCCTATTAATTAAGACCTTAAGAAACACGAAACCCAGTGCGACACATTTTTGCAGTGTCAATGACTCCCTGCTCTCAAAATTCAGCAAAAAAAAAAAAAACGATACATTACCAAGGGAAGTGCTGGCGTGTGATTGATCCCCCTGCTAATTAATGGATCACGGTACTTGGCGTATACTTACGGAGCACTGTGCTTTCTTCAATTTTTTCCTCTTTACTTTCCCTTCTTTCTTTAATTTCTTTCTTTGCTTAAAATCAAGCAGCGATTGTTATTGCCTTGATTTTAGTCCTCGTTTGTATGTCGCGCTCTTTCGGCGCAGATGCAGTTTCTGTGAAATGTAGCCCAACTCTGTGTGCCATAGATGACCATCCGCGGCTATCGTTTTGTTTTTGCGTGGCCGCGGCCCAACGAACTGTACTGCCTGTACACTCAACGGCGCCGCCCTTCCTTTGTCTTTCCCGCGGTCATAAAAAAAAAAAAAAGCTGCAGCTTTACTCGTGCCGTCTGTTCGTGCAGGCAGGTGCTTCAGCTTGAGCGTACTCGCACGCACGCGCACAGAGTTGTCGATCGATGGCGACCTTTCCGAGGCAGGCCGTTGGCTGGAGCGCTTAAAGTGTAAACAAGCGGCGCGCTCGCTTCCGGCCCGCGCTCGATATCGGGCGTTGGCTCCGCGGCGGGCAGCAGCCCCAACGACGGGCCGCCTCTTTTAATGCACTGCGGCCGCAGCCCATTCAGCAGGCCGACCACGTGACGCCCGGCCTTGTACGAGCGCAAACACCAAAGGTATCCCACTGCCGCCGCGACTAAACTTGGCATCGCCTTGGGGCCACAATGCGCATCTTTCTTTCCTGCCGTAGGGGTGATGCCCACGAGGCGGCACGTCTAGGTGAAATGGTAGGCCGCAACTCGTAACGAAATGCAGGTATAGGTGACAACACCGACCAGTTATAGACCCAACTTGCCCGGTCTGGTCCAACTGTCTCGACACAGGCCTGAAGCTGGAAAGTACCTCTTGCATATATACAGTCGGAAGAAATAGATGATGCAAACAACTCAAAGCCGGCGGGCGTATGTATGTATGTATGTATGTATGTATGTATGTATGTATGTATGTATGTATGTATGTATGTATGTATGTATGTATGTATGTATGTATGTATGTATGTATGTATTCATTAGAACGTGTATTTATGTCGTATGTATGCATATATTCACGAGAACATTTATGTCGTCAAAAGCTGAGGGTATCGTGCTGCAAGAACAGAAATAGTACTGGTGGTGTTCGCGGATCAGATCAGCCCGTAACAAAGGCGAGACAGCCGATCGATCGAATTAACGAGTGACTTCCGCCGGAGTCCAGTGTTTACAGTCAAGGTGAAGAAAACAAAAGAGAAAGAAAAACAACAAAAAAAGTTGCGACATCTCAGCGCGCACTCACCGAGTAGCGGAGACACGCAGTCCAACAAAGGCAGCAATATTCCGAGTGGCCACGGCGGCCGGTGAAACAGCAGCAACGTACATCGCGAACAGCGCACCAGCGCCCAACTGCTGCAGTCCGGGGTCGGTCGCCGCACGGTTTGGCAACAACACCCCTCCCCCTCAGCTCCGCCTGCAAGGCTCGCCCTCACCCCGCTTTCCCGCACCCCGGATCATCGTTGCACCACCCGCCTGGGGAAGCGGGCACCGAGTTCTCCCTAGGAACGCCATGGTGGAAGGGCGCACCCACCACGGTCGCTTTTGGAGCACATGGCCCGGACACTGGGCCCTATATTGATCGCCTACAGTCGGATTCCTTCTCGCCCATCCGCTGCAGCCGCGCTCACCGATGTCGCGAGCACAAACAGAGAAAAGCGCGCGCCGGTGCGTGTCAAGGTTCCTCTCCTCCGCTAGAAGCGTCGTTTTCGCTCGCCCCGCACGTCACACCGTGCGTCTCTCGCACGAGGACGTTCCCTCTGTCGACCTGAGAGGCTGCATTTTTCCCTAGGCTGCAGCAGCAACCCACCGATACTGGCAGCCTGTAACCGAGACTGTAACCGAGAGGCGAGAACCACCGCAGTAAAAGAAAACGAGGCGGAAAGTAATAGTCACTCGCTTGCGAACCACGGCAGGATCTATTAAAAGCTTTGAAATGAAAGCTTGAACCCTGAATATAGTTGTGAACAACTAAAAACAGTGACCACAATTGTGATATATATATATATATATATATATATATATATATATATATATATATATATATATATATATATATATTATATATATATATATATATAAATATATATATATATATATATATATATATATATATATATATATATATATATATATATATATAAGGGAAAGAAGTGTATACTTAAGGGCTGGTATTTTCCATGTTTTGACACAAAATTAATGAGATCTAACAGACAAGAATGCCAAGGAAAGTATAAGGAAGTTATGAGATCGAATTGTAATGTAAGTGGATGGAAAGATCTCTCTCTCTCTCTCTTATATATATATATATATATATATATATATATATATATATATATATATATATATATATATATATATATATATATATGTGTGTGTGTGTGTGTGTGTGTGTGTGTGTGTGTGTGTGTGTGTGTGTGACGGGAGCACGCAAATTTCGTTATTTGTTTGCAGATATGTTCTACTGCGGTGTATAACATTTTGCTGGTGCAGAAACCAACATCTACCTTAAGGTCTGCCCAGTTCGATGGCAAAAAAGTCTTAAATGTAATATTGTAGGCCCGTGTGCTCAGATTTGGGTGCACGTTAAAGAACCCCAGGTGGTCTAAATTTCCGGAGCCCTCCACTACGGCGTCTCTCATAATCATATAGTGGTTTTGGGACGTTAAACCCCACATATCAATCAATCTTAAATGTAATAACCATTTAAACTAGGGAGGTTTACTTGCCAAACTGTGATGGTATACGCCGAATAATTTTTAACATCTCAGTATATCTTCATGTGCATCCAAATTTAGATAAAAAGGTGCATGCGATTCTTTTACATTTTGCCCCCCGTGGAAATACACCGCCGTGACGGTGAACCAGACCTAGGTCCTCGAGTTTAGCTGCGCAACACCCTCACCGCTAAACTACCACGGCGGGTTAAAAGAGAGTAGTAATATATTGAAAACATTTCTGCACTGTCAACCTAAACCGCCGAACGCCCACTACCCTCTAACCACAAACGTATTAAACTCTACGTCTTTCTATACTACAGCCCGTCACGTTTGAAATCTTCACGAATAAGCGAACTAATCAACTAAAGTAAACCAACAAATTAACGCAAATGTATGTGACTTTCACGATATGTGTGAAGCTGTACGAATAGAAAAGCCAATACAAACTCAGGTTAGAAGAAAAAAAAACAATACCAGGGCTGGGTGTCTGTGCTTGCGAAGAAAACAGCGCGACAAACATTCCCTATCGGGAAAGTTCGCAAGGCCCGGTATATAGTACTTACACACGTGTCTGTGGGTACAATGTTACTAGGACTACCACCTCGACTCATAGGATAATGATAATAACTCCACAGATCACCAGATATCAACATACATTGCCGTTGAAAACCTCTGAGCACAAATTATTATTAATGATAATATCTGAGGTTTTCCGTTCCAAAAACGACGATATGATTATGAGTGACGCCGTAATGAAGGGCGGCAGAAATTTTGGCCATCTGGTATTCCTTAACATGCATACTGACATCGCACAGCACTATAGCGCTGTCACTATCTTGTTTCACCTTATTGGAAAGCGCGAGTCCCATTTTTAATGCTTGTTGCCATACTGACGAAGTCTACCTTCCGTCTTGCTCTACAACAGCGGCAACACTGCACTCCCTTGATGCCAAAGACTGCCACAGTTACACCTGGCAATTCCCCGAATCACGAAATAAGAGACACCATTGGACAGCTGATCTATAGAGCAGCGATACTGTTGTTATTGAACGAAGAGTATGCTCAAAGAACGCACACGGGCCTACAACACGGGTCTACAACAGTATGACCCATCTGAGCACACGGGCCTACAACATTTCCGCCTCCATCAGAAATGTAGTCACCGCAGCCGGGATTCAAACCCGCGACCTGCTGGTCAGGAGCCGAATACTTTAGCCACTAGACGACCGCGATGAGGCAATTCTGGGTCTTTTTGTTGGCATGTGATTGATTGATTGATTTGTAGGGTTTAACGTCCCAAAACCACCATATGATTATGAGAGACGCCGTAGTGGAGGGCTCCGGAAATTTCGACCACCTGGGGTTCTTTAACGTGCACCCAAATCTGAGCACACGTGCCTACAACATTTCCGCCCCCATCGGAAATGCAGCCGCCGCAGCCGGGATTCGAACCCGCGACCTGCGGGTCAGCAGCCGAGTACCTTAGCCACTAGACCACCACGGCGGGGCGCTTGTTGGCATGTGTGACCGCGTTGTTTTGAAGCTAGATTTTTTTTCGCGTATATATGTTTAATTCCATTCTGTCGACGAAGGTGACATCAAATTGTTGGAAGGTTCTCGAAATGGCTAGAACGTGTTTTGTACTGAATTGCCGTTCTGGCTTCGGACTTGCGCGGAGCATGTCCCTCTCTTCAAAGTGCCGTCTGACAGTAATCGTCTGACGGTGATCGTTAACATAAATATATATGCGAATTCGCATCGCAACATCTAGCCATCAACAACCACATAGATTTATTGTGCTGTATACGAAATACTTGCGTGGTTCAAATTTTATACATTTCGTGCAACAACTGCATTGCTCTTGTGTGCTTGTTATGAAATACTTCCGCGTTTCAATTATTTATTTATGTAGCGTTCACATTGAACAAGCACAAATGCTTCAATAATTTACTGTGTAAATGAAAGCAGTGGCACTCATAAAATAATACGTTTCTGGTGTAGTAACGATTCTCTTTCAATACAGCGTAATAATTATTAATGAGGGTTTACGCGTCAAAACTATTATTTGATTATGAGGGACGCCACAGTGGAGGGCTGCTGTCTTATTTTGACCGTTCGGGCTGTTTAACATGCACCTACATCTAAGCACGTGGTATTTCCTTGCGTATCTTCCCCACGGGGAAGTACTTTGACGGAAGAATAGCACGCTGGCTAACATTTTTTATTTATTTTTCTTTGCCTAGAGCATTACTGCGAACAGATCAAAATACTTGTGCGCGTGAGCGGAACTATCTGTGTTGACGACGTTCACACCCTGCTCAAGGCAATTTCGTGTTAATCCATCCTTAAACCTGGTATAATTCTACCTTTTAATCTGATAGAAAAAAAAATTCCTTCGCGCCTAAGTGTTACTCACACCGCTTGGAACGAAAACGTTGGGGAGGCAGAGGAATTTGAATGCGCCAGCATTGTTCGCGGCGCCGTCTGACGGCTCGCAGCACAACGCACCCGCGAGACTGAATATTATCTGGACGCTGAGGCGCGCTCAGTCTCAACACCTGATTATTCTAACGGCACATTCGGGTGGTCGGTTTTAAGTGCTCTGGCCGTGTTTCGTAGCGGCAAATTCGGCAGTTTTGAGGCTCTACAACGAGAATAAAGAGGTATGCAAGTCCTGTCCTTCGTTGCTGAACGTCTGTTTGCCCGAATATTTTAGCGGCAGTGCTTAGTCGCTATTTTACGTAGATTTTGAGAGCCTCCGGAGCGCTCGGAAACGACCAGTCGAATGTACCATTATACCATGATTAGAGCACTGCACGGACCTGAACTACCGCCTGGCCGGAACCCGCCTTATGAAGCCCAAGCCAGTCGAGGCCCGGCCCAAGGCCGGGCATACATGACCGAATCGAGCCCGAGACCAGACCTGGTGTTCATCACTAAACTTATCCAGGGCACGTGTGTTCAAGACCAGGACCGGCCCGGGCCCGTTAGAGGATATTTGTTGTTGATCATGATTATTAATAATGCCTTGCGCTTTGTGCGGGCGATCTGACGAAAAAAAAAGTGCTTATATGAATTGAAATGTTGCTTCGCCCGCGGGGGTAGCTCAGTGGTTAAGCAGCTCGCTGTTAAATCCTAGAACGCATGTGCAATTACTTCGGCCACGGCGCCGCATTCTCATGAGAGCTAAAGGCAAGAACACCCATGTACTATCTTTCGGTACACGTTAAGTAACTTCAGGTAGTCGAAATTTATCCAGTACTATATTGGGGACTGGATAAATTTTGACGGGTTAGCCTTACAATATAGTTCCAGTACCCTTGCCCAGAACAGGTGCCGCGAAGTGTCTCTGCAGATTTACTTTCTCACTCAAAAAGGGGAGCTCCTTGGAGAAAGCCGAGTGCTTCCAACTGAAATTTTTGCACACTTCACTCGTCAATGAAGTCCATCTCACCTCTCCCGCCGTGATGCTGATTTGCTACGTCACCCCTGATCCTGTTTTCTCGTTGGAATGTTATACGCCCCCTATACTTTGAGTACCACAACTGTGAAGAGACAGTAAAACGCGTATTGTGTTTTGCAGCAGTTTAACGTCAATACGCAATGTTTTTTTCTGACTTTGATAAACAAACCAGAAAATAAACAAAATTCAGCTTAAAAGATACCTTGTCCATGGCCCCGCGTCGCAGGCCTGCAGAGCGACGCTGGTATTCCTACTCTTTCTACCGAATGACCTCAGTAACTAATTGTAGATGTAATGGACAGCCGCAACCATGTTGGAAATGTTTTATGGAACGAAAAGCTTATAAAAACGCATGCGGTTTGGAGCATCCGAGCATCGATATTTGGAAACGTTGTCATGCGCCCTACATTCACATTATTACACAACCACGCTGCAATATTTCTAAAGATCC